GGAGGTTCAACATTCTCATTGATCTTCTCATATTCAAAAGTCCATTTAACAAAAGCACTACCATCATCCTTATCAATAGCTTGAAAGATGAGCTTGAAGATCTTGAACTTCTGACTTATATCTCCTTCAAAAAGGTTGTATGTGATTATCATGCTCCTTTCGTCAATGGCTTCAATGTTTTCCTTGCATGTTACAACCTTTCCATCTGTCATGTCAGAAATAATTAAGATCAACAACAAAAAATGATTAACCGATCCTTTGTTATTTACAATAATAATATAAATAGAAGCTTATAAATCACCTATGACGTAAGTCCAGTGCTTAACTGAACCAATGGTATGCCAGTCCCCTTCATGCAACTTGGTTTGATGCACTCTTTCAGTAACGTTTTGAACGTGGTGAAGTTGCTTCAAGACCAAGTTGAAGAACTTTGCAGCTGTTGTTCGGATTCCAAGTTCCGTACTCACTTTACCACTAAGACTAGCCATGTCTCCGGAAACAAAACAAACAATATGAGGTAGAGACGGATGACAAGTGTGGATGGATATTCAGTATAGTTTGACCTTATATAGAAAATAGCTTACCCACTGTTGCAAACAAAATGATTTAACAAAATATCTTAGATATTTTAGAAAACTAACGATTAGTTTTTAAGATTTTTATTAAAAGTAATGATTAGATTTCTTTTAGGGGCCGTTTGATAGAACAATTTTTTTTATCAGGGAAATATAATTACTAAGAATATGGTGGAAAAATGAGCTTGGTAGAAAAATTTTAAAAAAATTGTTTGGTATGCCAAAATATTACCGGAAAAATAAGTTAAGTTTTTCGAGTCTATATTTGGTTGAAGGTAAAATATTGATAGAAAAATGGGATAAAATTACCAAATTAACCCTTGACTAAATATAAATAAGACTCTCTCTTTTCAAATTTCTTTTGGCACGCTTTTTGAGAAGAGATATTAGTGTCCATTGCTTTTTTTTTCTATTTTCTTTTCTGAGTGGTATTATGAAATGGTAAGATTTTTCAAATTTACACACAAACTAAGATTGCTATGCAAATTTGAATGATGGACAAATTTTTTAAAATCTCCTACCAAACATGATCAACTAGAAAATCCATATCAACTTTTCCAGTCATCCTAAAATAACCTCGTACCAAACTCTCCCTAAGAGTTTTATAAAGGTAAAGAAGGAAAGAGAAAGAGAAACAAAGAAAGAAAAAGAGAGAGAGGAAGAGGAGCAAGAAGAAGAAGAGGAAGAGCAAGAGAAAGAGAAAGAGAAAGAGAAAGAAAGAAGAAAAAGTAAAGGAAAAGTAATATTAAGAGTAAATAACTTATTCTCTCTTTTATTTTTAAAAGTTGATTTTTAGATATTTTAGAAAACTATTTTGGTTCTATTTTTATCTATGTTATGTTGAAAGTTGGTATTTTAAAATTATTTCTTTAAAAGTTGTAAAATGTCGTTACTCTGCCAAAATTATTTTATGAATTCTTTCTACTCTTTTACTTTATTTTTTATATTTGACTTTGTGAATTTGATGAATTTACTTATATTAGATATGAAAATGATCTTGAATCAAGTTTATAGAAATTATAGAATTTCTTTGGTACTAAATGGATACTAATGAAATATGTAATTTTTTACTGAATGATTCTGATGTGACTGACCCACGAGGGTATCAAAATGATTATAGGGTAAGAGACGCCTTATAATGGCTTGAGCTCCTTAGAGTGATATTTTTCACTAAAGTGATTGGATTGATTATAGTTCGAAAACTCCAATATTACTGAGATTTATCGCACATGTTTTGTTTTTATGATACCCTTTTCAGAGTAGACATGACAGTATATGTAGCTTTGAAGTAGGATAAAACACTATGGTTAAAAACTTTGAAGACTATACGGAGTTCAATGGAGCAAATTAATAGAAAGAAAAATGTTTCTTTTCACTTTAGACTATGATGTATTTATGATGTAATAGTGATCTTGACTCTGTATAATTAGATTTTAAGAATACTTTGTTATATGCCTTATTTCGTATCCGTTGCATTAGAATTTCATTGTAATTCTTGTTCTCTTATTTAAAATAAAATTTAAAAATTATTGTGAAATCCTCTATGTTAGTAAGTTACAGAGGATGTCACGGTCTCTCCATAAATTTTGCATCCTGGTAAATATGAATTTTAAGAAATTCTTGGTTATCATTTTCCAGCATGTATGTGATAATATTTTTTAACAACCAATTGTTCATGCAATTCTGGACTAGAATATTAATGGTTAAATAAAGTCATATTCACATTAACTGATTGTAAAATTTGAATCACATCTATGTTGCACTAACACTGACATGGGACATGAGATACGACACGATACTTCGATACATTAATTTTAAAAAATGTTAAATTTTGACATGTTAGAACACGTTTTGATATTAAATAATATTTGTAATTTATGTAGTGAATATTATATTTAATATTCAATAATTTAACGAAAAAATAAAACCAAACTTATAATACCCATCAATTTTGGAAAGAAATATAAAATATCCCAAATATTTATATTAAATTTAATAAAATGATAATCGTAACACAGCGAATCTAATAGTTAGAACTAAAAACGCAACATAATGCAATCTTTAAATCGTTTTTTAAGTCTCTACCATACGTGTTGAGTATCACGAAACGTCAAACACGACATGTCAAAATTTTTGAGTTGTCCATGCATCATAGCCACTACAAAAAATGCAGTGATTGGGCACACTAATTTAGGCACATTTTGTTTAAGAGGTAAGATATTTTTACTATCAAATTTTTCTATTACCATTCTACTACCACTTCAATCATGGTTGAATTAGAGAAAAAATTAAATCAGGAGAAAGAAAAGAATAACAAGTTTTGAATTCAATAGTAAGTAGAGTAAGAATATCCTACTTCATTATTTAATATTGTAGCGAAAACGAGGGAAGGGGGAAAATCTTCTAAAAGCTTAGGGAGCGTTTGGTTGGAGATTTCTTAAAATATAGCCAGGCAATTGAAAGTGGGATTGTGTGCTATCCATGTTTGGTACAAGATATCAAGTTTTTTTCCTAGCAAACCAATTTACCCAGCTATTGATGATTGTTTGCAAAATCAGATGAAATACACTATGCTCAAATCCCACTTCCAATGTGGTATTTGATGTTAGTCTGCTAAATGAAAAAAAGATAACGAAGGAGATGCCAAAATTACCCTCTTCTAACATTATTTTCTTGCTTCAGCTTTAATGGCGAGTGCTGAGTGTTCTCAAAACAGCATTTAAATCTTCAATATTTGCATGCTTCACCGACTCCTCACAAACAATACCCATAACCCAAATAATATGATTTTCTGAAAATGCAAATTCAATTGGAATTCTCATCACAAAGGAATCAACTTTTTGATTTTTTGCAACCTCTGAACCTAACCCAGATGGCTAAAGAGTTGTAATCTGTCATGGGGTTCTATTTTTCAGTCTCATTGAATCAATATCTCAAATGGGTTTTCTGATTCTTGGACTGCTGTGAATTTTCTTTTGTTATTTTTCTTCATCTTTTTATTTGTTGTTCTTTCACTTCTTTGTTGGTTTCTTGGTGTGTGAAAGTGTTAAGATGGGGAAAGAGATGATAGAAAACGTGAATGATGATGGAGAGCTTGATGAGGTTGAGATGTTGCTGAATGAGATCCGTTAGATGACCCATTAACCACCGACAACATATATGGGTTTGTACTGGAAAAAGAAAAGTAAAGGGCAGGTGATTAAAAAAAAATTAAAAAGAAAGATATTTTCGTAATTACAATTTATTTCTCCATCTATATTTTATCTCAAATCATACATAGATTTTATAAATCTTACCTAATTTGTCCGATAAATTTTTTTCTAACCAAACAACTTTTTTTACATTTTCCTACCAAACTCACTTTCTAACTATTTCCCTATCAATTACATTTTCCCATTATTCAAAAAATTTCCCCTCCAACAAACGACCCTTAATCACGTCGCAAACTTTTTATCTTACTGCTTAATTTTTTAACTAGATGCTGAAGATCCAAAATTCGACTCTCTCATTCGTCTTCCTACTTTTCTTACTCTCGATTGTCCACAAGAACTAGATTTCCCTAACTTTTTTCTATTGTTTTCATCTCCATCTTCTTCCTCAACCTCCATCGCGAGTTCGTGGTCGCCGACAGAGTCCATTTGCAGCGTCACCGTGAGAATCTTTGCAATCGACCGCTTCTTGGGGGCTTTGGGCTTGGGATTCGAATTCAATGTCTTCATCTGCCTCCTTTTTTCTCTCATCGCCTGCACAAGGTAATTGTCGATATGCATATTCACAGCCATCATTGTTGTCGCGTTAAAAACCCTACAAACAGCACACACCATCTCCAATTTCTCCTCCTCTTCCACTAAATTCTAACTTCCTTCTTGGATTAGAACGATTTCCGAAAAGCATTGTAGTGTGTAGTATGTGGAATGTGAGATCCTAAACTTCCTATCCGCATTAATTCTGTTTTTGCTTTGCTTTATTTCATTGAAGGTTGCAAAGGTGTTACTGCGTTTTGTTTCTATTTTGATTTGAATAAATCTTTCTATAGTTTATCGTTGATTATGCTTATTTTTTCATTCTATGATGATGCAGAATTGAATGAAATTCATCCTATTATCCCTCAATCCTTGGTGGTATGTGAATGTGAATAAATTGTTGTCTGCACTTTGAATTTCTTATTTGGCATGGTGAATGGGTTTAAATAATAAAAAGATTTAGTCATAAGCTGGTCAAACAAGACAATCTGTAGTCACTGTTTTAACTTTCATTGTTCATGTGTCAGTGTGGCACCGTTAAAAAGAATAACTGGTTTAATTGTTTTCATAAAAATATATAATGCAGGAAGATGTGCGGCTTATGGTGCTATTACTTTGTCTTTGTACTAAAACGGCATTACAACTTTAACGTTAAATATTTTCTTTTTAATTCTATATGCAGTGAGGATTGACTAGTTGATACTCTTTCTTCATTGACCAAGGAGATTCAGAGGAGCTCTTTCTATTCTGCAGGGCTGTCTCTTGGGTATCATGTGAGTTGGGCCTCCTTTGTTAGAAGAAGATAAGGATATGTGTAGACGTCGTATGAAGGTGAACGGACATTGTGGTTTATGTGATTGTGATAGTGAGGAATATGGGCAGATGCGGTGTGTGTGCATATCTTAACAACTTCACATGCAGTCTGAGATTTAGGTTCCTCAATTTATGCTTAATTTATAGTTGGTTTAATTTTTTATTTTGATGCTTTAAGAATGTGAAACTATATTGAATTCTTTCTGAGATATGCTCAAATAAATGGTTATTTTCCATGACAACTCATACTTCTTGATACCATCTTGTATATTTGTGGCATTTGTTATCAGGCAAACCATCTTTTACTAAGAAACAAACAGATCTGTTCTTCCCTCCGGACTTTGCTGATGACTTTCCTGTATCAATGCAGGTATGTGTGCAAACTTCAATAATCATTTAATATTCTCAGTTCTTGATAGACAATGCATTTTTAATCTCTTTGGTATGGCCCAAATCCTAATATTGTAGACAATATAAGCAAGAGATTAATAAGTACATAGGAGCATCTTAATTATATCAAGGAAAAGAAGCAAAGATCCATACACAAGAAACATATTATAGAAAAGGAAGGAAATAAAAATGTTCTTTACGGAATTAACAGTCCGCCACAAATAAAACCCAAATTTCATAAAAGGACAAAGATATTATGCACCCAGAAAAGGGGCAACAAACCATAAAATGAGAAAAAAAAAAAAATACACTAATTCCATTCTAATTAATAGCTAGCTTCTACCTAGCATATTATGCATAGTAAATTGAACTCTTGATAAACTTTAATAGCCTTCTAATTGTATTCTATATGTGTAATATGTTTCTCAGAATTCATTTGAAGATAAATAACTTGGGGAAAGAAACAACCACATCTATAACAGGATGTGGTTAAATGTTTGATATGTTTTTGTTGTGCAGATTTCAAATAAATATGGATTGATATATGTTATCACAAAGCTTGGGCTTTTATTTGTCTATGATCTGGAGATTGCAACAGGAGTTTATAGAAACCGAATCAGTCCCGATCCTATATTTTTGACATCAGAAGCATCATCAGTAGGGGGGTTTTATGCCATCAATAGACGTGGCCAGGTGTTGCTTGCTACTGTAAATGAGGCAGCCATTGTACCTTTTGTTAGCAGCCAGGTAATTTGTGAATTATGACGTGTTTTTGGTTAAATGGAATATATGGATCCTACTTCTAAATGTTTCTTTCGAACTTTTGCAGCTAAACAATTTAGAACTTGCTGTTAATCTTGCTAAAAGAGGAAACCTCCCTGGTGCAGAGGAATTGGTAACATGAGTTGCTTTTGGTTAATTTTGTGTTGTTATCAATGTCAAACTTCATAAATGGACTTTCGAAACTGGCTGACTTTATTGAGTTGGATGATTGTTTTACTATAATATTTTTCAATTTTTGGTGTGTGATGCTCTTTGCCTTAATATATTATAGTTGTCTTAAAAGTATTCCACGAGTATGATGATCTAGAACAATTATCAGCAACGCAACTAGCATAAAAGTGCAAAAGAAGTATAAACAATATATTATTTGTTTGTGGTAGATGCTTGTGTGCATAGGTTTTTTGACTAATCATACTAGAAAGGTCATTTTACAGTTTTTAAGTTCTAGGTATTTGGGGGAGTCTTGATAAAAAATGTGCCAAAGAGTATAATGTTGGTGAAATTTGTGCACTACAAACATGATTTAAACTGAAAAGATTTTAATTGTGTTAGCATATAATTTACCTCTGCCACTTTTTTTTTTTCCTTGTTGATTTGATCAGTGGGAAGCTTGCATTTTATTTTACTATTATTTTTATTTACCCTCAGTGATCGTTGAGTTTCTGTTTTTTTTCCTCAGGTAGTTAAGCGGTTTCAAAGGGGGCGAACCGGAGTAGTGGTAAAGCTGTTCCTTCATGACTGAAAGGTCATGGGAGTGGTTTTTTTGTTTTGGTTAAGCGGTTTCAAGAATTATTTGCTGAGACCAAATATAAGGAAGCTGCTGACCTTGCTCCAGAATCTCCCCGAGGAATACTTCGAATTCCTGACACTGTTGCTAAATTTCAGGTATACTTCGAGCTCGGTGACCTTGTAAAGGTTCAGATAGAAATTCAAATTGATTCTCTTTTAGTCTCTTTATCATTTGAACGTATTTATTAACTTTTTTTAGGGTTGGGAGTAGGAAAATACAAGCTGTTGCCTGTGATCCCTGTCTCCTTTGCTCATTGAAAATTCTGGTCATGATTCATATAAATTTAAAACTAATTATTACGAAGAAACAAAAGCAGTTTTTCTTTTTATAATTGGAAATAGAGAACACTGTCATATAAATAAACAATAACGGCCCACCTCTTACACCCACTTCCTGGCTACTAGTGTGGTTTACTTTGAGGCTACAAATATTATGTTCAAACTCTAGGCCCTGTTTGGATGAGCTTATTAAAATAGCTTTTGAAACCCAAATAATGTGTTTTGGGCGTATTTTCATTAGCTATAAATTGAAGCTTAAGAAAATAAGCCGTTGCAAAAGCTAAATACAGCTTTAGGAGATAGTTTATCTTTGGGAGAGGTTTAAAACCTTAATCTTGGACCCGCTCTGAATCGGACTAGTCACGAAGTGATGAACCGATTGGAATATTTTCAAAAAAAAAGAAGCTTTAGGAGATAGTTGTATCTGCATTAAGTTTTGGTTAAATTAACGTTACCAAATTATCAAAATTTCATTGCTATTTAAGCACTTATTGAAGTATCTATCCAGACACTATTTTGACTTATTTAGTTGGACTGCTGTTATGACTGTAGAGCTTATTAAATAAGCTATACTGAACTCAGTACTTCTTTAAGTTGTTTATCCATACAGGAGTTTAGTTTATCTCCCCTTCTTTGGATTTTTTACTTTTGATGCTTGGATTTCCATGTATGTAAGTACTCACAAGCATACGCTCTTGCACACAGAACATACATTTATTTATGTTACTGCAGGGGGAAGTAAATTCTATTCAGTTTTCATTATATTTCTTTCATCTGTCCTCCTAATGTTATGAGACATGCATATAATGCAGACAGTGGATAATGACCTTGCCTTGAAAATATATATCAAAGTCAAGGCCACACTTTCCCTTGTGTGTAAATATGCTATGTTTTTCTACACTTTCCCTTTTGGAGTGACTTTGTAAAGAACAGAACATCTTGTAAATCACTTATTTCTTCATTAATGGTTGTGTTTCAAGTTGCAATAGTGGTGGAGCCAGAGAGAGGTTACGAGGGACCTTTTGTATTATACCATATTCAGACTAAAGATAAAAGTAATGTAATATAAATTTGCCCCCTTTCAAGCTCAGCCTTTACACTTTTATCTTATTATGTATGCTAAAAACTTGTTGAGTTTGTCAAATCTGGCTACGTATTAACCTAGCTACTGCCATGTTACTTTTCTTAAAGTTTGTTTGAATCATACTTCCTTCATCCGCTTTCACAAAATCTCGTTTGCATTGTAGGTAATAATCAGTTGCAGATCCAAGATTTTTTGTGACGGGGACGTAAATAAAATATCAAAAAAAAGGGGAGATAAACTAGACTCCTGATGGAGTTATTAAATAAAATATCAAAAAAAATCTTATTTAATATCAAATAAAATATTAAATAAGATTTTTTGTAACATAGTTGTGAACTATTTTACCAAGCTGTATTCAGCGGATGATGGAGAGATAGAGTTCTTCCCGATCAGGAATGCTTTTCCTCGGCTTGAAGAAGCTGATCTGTGTAGAATTGGAGTTATTCCTGCTATGGAGGAATTCCGTAGGACAGTATTTGCAATGGGGAAGTTTAAAGTGCCCGGTCCTGATGGCCTGCAAGCTGTTTTTTACCAATCTCAATGGAGAAGTTTAAAGCGCCCGGTCCTCTTTTGGTTTAAAGATTCTGACTTCCCTTTGTGGGTCAAACTGGCCACACCTCCTTTGTCTGTCCCTTATGAGTCTCTGAAACCGGGCCTTTGGCATCCTTCTGTACGTTCCCTGTGGCTTCTGACGCTTCTAAGTTGCTTTTTTCGAGAGCCTATTTGGAATACTCCTCCCCTTTCCGGCTAACCTTCATCGACGTAACCTTGTTGGCCCCATCCAGTACTGCAAAAAAATTTCGTCCTCTGGCCGCTTTTTTAACCACCATCCATGCCCCAAAGGCATTTGGTTCTACAGACTTCACCTCCGTTCCCAAATTCACAGCCCCATAATCACCATTATTCCCCTAAGAAACATCTGCTGCTTCTTTCTTATACAGAGATTCGTTTTTCTTTCCTCCATCTGGGATGTCCTTGGAATAGTCTAGGCCTTTATTACATGCTTCCTTCTTGTGTCCATACCGACCACAAGCAAAGCAGATCATATGTAATCCTTCATACCCTACATTTAGATATATAAACTCCTTTTGAAAGAAGTCCCATAACTTGAACCTTGAGATAAAGCTCCTAGGGAGGTCCACTTCAACGCAAATTCTGACAAAGCGAGCTCTATCTGTTATCTCACCCTCGACACCTTCAGCTCTCTGCAAGGAAATCTTATCCACCTTCAAAGTTTTCCCTAGCATATTGCCTCTACTCCATAGGTGTTGGGAGGTGTAGAATTCTATGGGAAGGCCAGGTATCCTCAGCCAAACCGCCATCTTCTTCACCTTCTCATCATAAGGATAAAAAAAAGGTCTCCACCTTTGAACAATGACATAGTGATCGATACAATCCACGGTCCCTCGTGGAGAATGTAACACCCCGTTCTAGAACCGGTTTGTTAACATCGCATTATGATATTAAGCGCAGTTACAATCACATGGGTTCAATTAAAATCCGGATAAATTTTTCATTTTAAAACGTATCGAACTTATAATACCCATTTTCGTGATCATAACCATATTACCTTGCGAAAACAGATAAATTAAGCTTAACATCATGTTCACAACTTCTACTATATTGTAGGTTTCTTCATTAGCTATGCGTGGCTTCAAACCGCGCTCAAATCGGAGCACTGTAGCCCAAGTTAGGACAATTTGAAGCAACACAAGAGAGTATTGGTCACAGGCCCCGCGCGCTTCAGCGCGCTCTAGCGGGCGCTAAAGCCTCCATCTGGGCGCTTAAGCGCACGGAGGCAGTAAGCATCAGGCATTCCAGTGTGGATGGGCGCTTAAGCGCGCAACAGGGCGCTCAGGCGCGCTATCCTGGGCGCTCAAGCTCCCACGGGGACGTTTTAGCGCGCAGAGACAGAAGCATCTCCTCCTTCAGTGGCGAAGGGCGCTTAAGCGCGGACCAGGGCGCTCAAGCGCGCAACCCTGGGCGCTTAAGCCCCACCCTGAGCGCTAAAACACGAGGGGGCAGTAAGCCACCCAACTTTCTGCAGCAAAGGGCGCTTAAGCGCACGCCAGGGCGCTCCAGCGCAAGGAGGCAGAATGCATTGGCACTCGCAGGGGCAGCAGGGCGCTTGGGCGCGCTCCTGGGCGCTTAAGCGCGCTGCCAGGGAATTCCAATTCCCACATTTCTCAAGTCCAAGCCTAGGGGAAAATGCATCCCCATTACAAACCCCAATTGTCCATGCCCCAAAACTAAATCCTAGCACTCATCCAACCTCTCCTCATGAGATTTAGCTAGAATTTGGGCAGCATGACCTTTGTTTTCTCATTGTTTACCAGTTTAAACAAAAGGGTACCTAATTGATTTTCAGCCCAACCAATTCAACAACTCAATACATAACAAGCATGCATATATTGAATTTCAAGTAGGCATCATTTACATTACATATCCTTTACAAATCATAGAACTTAGCTTACAAAACACTATGATCATTCCCTTGGCTCCCATCAACAAAAGGTGTAACCAAAGGCATGAGCATAGGCTAAGTTCATCCAACGAATCAAGATATACAAATGACCATGGGCTTTCAAAATAAAATCCTATACATGTCAACTACAAAAGGCATGCATAAACTCAAAGAAATGCCATATTTCATGCATAATCCAGATATGGCCACTTGCCACCAGAGGCTCCTGCAGCATCCTTACCTGAAAGGGGGTCCCCACAACACGGGGTGAGATATACGAATATATCCAGTAAACCAGGGGTCCTTGGAGCATCTCTCCACCCCACAGTTCCATATCAGTGTAATAGCAATAACAATAATAATGCAGTAAATACATATCTATGCAAAGTGCACTACATCTCCAGGAGAAATCCCTCGAGCTCTCAAGCTGTCCTAAGGAAACTCAGATGCAAATAGTCCTACTGGCCAGCTAACTACCAAGTATGATTTACGCATCGTCATGCAACATACCACATAGGGAAACACCATCCTATGCCACACCAAATGCATACACATACGTATAACAAAGCATTACACTATTTCATTGCATTTATATACACTATAATCACCACTACCCTTTCAGGGCTTGGTGGAACAATCAAGGGAATTACACCCAAGGTCCGAAGGCTTACCTCAATGCCTCAGTCGACCTTTGTTCTTCACCAATGTCAACAATACTCTACTCCAAAACCAACACCTACACATGGTGTAATGCAATCAACACATTGCATCCAAGAGTATTTCACAATCAACCATCAAATACTCAATTCAAAACACCACACAAGTGTGAGCTTACCAATTCCAATGAGCTACTCAAGCTCCATAGCTTGTTCAAGCGGTTGATCACTCACGGTCGGTCCAAATGTCTCAATCCTAGACATCATTAGGACACAATCATCAATCAACCAAGCCATACCATTTATCAACAATGCAAGAAATCCAATATCAAGCATCATATTCTTGCCATTTTACAAGTATACTCATTTAGCTATCTAAGCTCATTTTCACCGATTAAATGACATTCCTAGCATTTTCCATAACATGCTCTAAGCTCCATTCTTCCTAGAACATAGCTAATTTAACAACATTCATCAAAATCCCTAAAACACTATTCATAAACCCTAACTCATGCAATTTTCAAGGAATCATGAGGTTCAAGGGTTAGAATCTTACCACCAATGGTCACACAACCAAGGATTGATGGCTCCTCAAGCTCCCATGGAGGTAGAAACTCTCAAAACCCCAATTTTCACCAAAGGGCCAAATTTTTGAGAGCCAACATCTCACCACACAAAGCTCCCCACTTAAAACTAAGCTTGGATTATGAAAGAGGGCGAGATTCTAAGCGATTTAGGCTTTTGAATCACCCAAAACCGTTGGGATTTGCTCCCTCCTCTCTCTCTTCTTCTCTCTCCCTTTCTCCTCCTTCTCCTTCTTCTTCTTCTTCCTTTCTTCTCTGTTTCTGTCGACGGGAAAGTGGGGGTTTGGGGTTCATCTTTTGGCTTTTAGTCACTTAACATTGGTTAAGTGGCTTTAAGCGGGTATTGGTTCATCTATCTATTCAACTCCAATAATTACCAAACTTTAACCAAAAGTCTGGAATATTATTCTAGGAATATTACTATTTTTATTTTTATATTTGGGTACTTTTGCCAGTACTCATTTATACCCCTTAATTTTCACTGAGTACACTTTTTAACTCCAAAGTGACTCAGATTCATTTAATTAAGCCTTATACTTAATTTCACTCACTAAAACATGTTTAATTAATTAATTACACTAGATTTACTAATTAATTAAGTTGGGCTATTATAATCACCCCACCTTTTAGCGATTTTGTCCGCAAAATCAAGAACGTACCTGTCCTTAAACTCAGGATATTGCCGGAGAAGCTCATCTTCCCGCTCCCAAGTGGACTCTTCAGGCGTCCTTCCTTCCCATTGGACTTTCACCATAGGAATAGATTTATTTCTCAGCTTCTTCTCATCTCTTTCAAGTACCTTCAGTGGCCTAATAGAAGTCTTCAAATTCTCCCGGATTTCAACATTATCAGGTTGAACCACATGAGAAGGATCAGCTACATATTTCCTCAGCTGAGAAACATGAAACACATCATGCAAATTTGCCAATTGCGGAGGTAAGGCAAGCTGGTAGGCAACCGGTCCCACCCTACGAAGAATCTGGTAGGGTCCAATAAATCTCGGACTCAGCTTCCTCACTCCAAGGGCTCGTCCCACACCCGTAACCGGTGACAGCTTCAGGAACACATGATCTCCCTCCTCAAACTCTAGAGGTCGATGCTTGAGATCATAGTAACTTTTCTGACGATCCTGAGCCTTTTTCAGACGATCCCTAATCATTTTAATCTGCTCAGTAGTCTCCTGAACAAAATCCAATCCAAACCGCTCTGTGTCTCCAACCTCTGACCAACAAGTAGGTGTCCTACACCTGCGACCATACAAGGCCTCGTAGGGAGCCATACCC